GGGGGGACAAAGAGGGCAGGTGCAGGAGGAAGAGGTGAAGGGGAGAGGGAAAAAGTGAGGAAGAGGGCAGATGCTGCGCACTGAATTCTAACGCCTGTTCAACCCTGCACCCCCGGCCTGGCCGGCCACCTTCCTGTCTTTCGGAACCTGGGACCACGGCCCAGGCCCCAGGGGCAGACCCTGTGCCACGGGCCACAAGGAAAACCAAATTGCAGTTTGAAACTCCTCCATGCAGACTTTCCTGCAAAGCTGAGTTTCAAGTGCATTTCCAACTTCTGGCCTGACTGGACTGTAGAAACGGTGTTTCAACTTTCAAATGCATTTTCAAACTTTTTTTGTGACCCCCATGTATTACCCATTTTTGGAGGAAGGAACCGGACAGATAAGTATGGAGGAAGGAACCGGACAGATATTAAGAAGGAGACAATGTAGAAGACAGGAACATGGTGATGGCAGGATGACATGCGGCCTGAGGAACTGCTAGGGATGCCCCCTCTGCACCTTGTCCTTCTGGAGATTGCCGTGTTACGTGACTGGGTGCTGCTAGTAAGCCTCCTGATCAGCAGGGCAACCTCCTAAGAAGTCCTTTTTTAAAAAAAAAGAGAAAATACAAAAGGGAAAAGATTCAAAAGAAACAATCAATTGCATTTGCCAGGCTATCACAAAAGGAAATGATGCCCTCATGTACTCTCTTCCCCAGATACTAGAACGCAGCCTGAGATGAGTGAGTCTGTATGCAGGAGATTTCAGGTGATATAGGAAGATAGTGTGACCCTGCCCCCTACTACTCAAGTATGGAAGATGGCAATTGAATGCTGTTTTCGGCGAATCTCGCGGGGCAGAAAGTGGCTGCCCTTGGCAAGAACCTGCCAGTGCCATGTTTGAAAGACACAAGAAGCCATTAATACCCATTATTATGCTTCAAATTTTCCCTTTTTGAAGTTTCCCTCTTAAGTTTTGGAAGTCTGCAGTCATGGTCATGCTATAAATATCAAGACCAGACCCCCCATTCCATGTGGCTGAATGGCACACTCAATGACATGTAATTGTTTGTAACTAAAACAGGTTATGGATTCATATCCTGTGGGGATCTCATCAATATGATCATAATGAATATGATCATGAATATGATAATGAAAATGAGAATGAATATGATGAAGACCAGATATAGAAAAAAAATGTCTGCAATTTTCTTTTTTCCTGTTTTTCTTTTTTCTTTTCATAAAATTTGGACCATTTCTCGATTTATGCATGTCATGATTGTCTGCGCAGGGGCCATGGGTAATTTTCTCTGTATCGTTCCAAGGATGTCCCAAAGGACGATGGGCCTCGCTCCACTACTCTCCAC